ATGTGTGTCTGTGTGTTTGTGTGCGTGTGTGTACTTTTACAAAATATTTATATTTATATATGCATTATTAATTATACTAATAAGCTCCTTCATTTTTTTAACGTAGTCCAAGAAAGAGATGGTATCGATGATGATGACGGTGGGGATAGTGATGATGATGATGGTGGTGATAGTGATGATGAGAACAATGATGACGATGATGACGATAAAAATAATGATTATGATATAAATGATGATAGTTATAAATAAAGGAGCCTGTGTCTAATGCTACTGAATGATAACAATTTGTGATGATAAATCTTCGATAGAAATGAGTAAATCATAAGTAAGATGTGATAATAGCTTAGCTACTTTATATAAATATGTATAACTCGCTCTCTCTCATATATATATATATATATATATGTATATATATATATATATATATATATATATCCTCTTTCGAAGTATAAGAGAATTATATATAGAATTATAAATATATATGAATTTATCAGTTCATTTATATAATGATAGATGATAACAATAAAAATAATGTTATTATTTATAACAGTTATGATAACATTAATAATGAAAAGGTGATGATGGTGGCGAGAGGACTGGATGATGGTGAAAATGATGATGATGATAATGATGATGAAGAAGAAAAAGATGATGAAGATGATGGTAGTGAGAGGATGATGATGATGATAAAGATGATGATGGTGGTGAGAGGAGGAAGATGAAGCTCATGAAGCTCATGAAAGAGAGAGAGAGAGAGAGAGAGTGAAAGAGAGAGAGAGAGAGAGAGAAAGGCTTATCGAGTACATCTTGAAATATACAGGTAAGCAGGCATGAGACTGTTGTTGCCTTGCAATCATTATCAATAACTTCTATTACGTCACATCCTCATTATCATCATCAGTCTTGCATCATCATATTTCTTATTCTGTCGTTGCTAGCTCAGTCAAAATCATCACCACAACTATCATCATCACATCCATCATAATCATCACCACAATCATCATCACTATCATTATCATCACCACTATAATCATCATCATCATCATCACCATCATTATCATCACTATCATCACCTTCCTTTTGTCACTATAATAGTCCTACTACACGTTAATTTCTTGCTACTGGCTTAGATGATGACGCTGATAATGGTGATGACGACGATGACGACGACGATGATGATATATTAACAAATCCGGATCATCACATCATCACATTATTGTTGGTTCGGAACATACAGTGCTTTAAAAATGACGATGAATACCATCATCTCTGCGATACTTATAATAAAATCACGACATACGTTCGCTGGAAGTCTTCAAACTCCTACTGACTAAACAAACACATGAACATGTACTGTACGACAGCCTCTATCCGGTCGTCATCACAATCGTCATCTTCATCAACTTCATTATCTTTATCACTTGCTTCACCATCATAATTGTTCACCATTCTGATTATTTCCAACTTGCAGCTCATGTTTAATTGCATGCAATTTCTGGAAATCTTGTTCTTCACTGTCATCGGCATCATCATCATCAACAACAACATCATCATCATCAATGAAACGTATGGCCTTATACTTTCTACATCTAAGTTTGTTGTCATAAAAATCTGTGTTCAAATCAAATTGCTATCAACATTATCATCGTTATCATTATTTGCTAGAGATGTTTTCAATTTAATAAAATATTTTTAATATTTCAATTTATTATTTTCAAGATAGTCATCATCATCTTCATCATTTTGACCATCTTCATTATCTTTTTCATCTTCATCTTGACCATTTCCATCATCTTATTCATCTTCATCATCTTCTTCATCCTCACCATCTTCATCATCTTTTTTCATCAGCGTGGAACTCCTACTGCAAATATTTTTCCCCGTCGCGGAACGATCAGGGATATTTTTCAGAATTTTTAACGGCGAAAGTGAAGTCGTAGGGCTTCAGATGATGAAAAATCATACTTTTCTTTATTATCCGAGCTACGTAGCATCTCTCATCTTGCAGGTGTATCATGATATCCTTAGATACTATACGACTAACGTCATCGCCCCCGTGTAAGTAAACGCATTACACATTACATACCTTCAAACGACAGCACATACTCTCAAAAACAGAGTTCAACAAACATCTCAAAACAGTTAGCAATTAAGCTAATTTTTTTACATTACGTGCAATCCGAGTGTCATCAAATCATTTGCATCCATCTCATTAACAGTAACCTCGCTTCTGCTATTATATTATTTTAATTAATGAAATCGCTATCAAAAATTATCGAAACTATCAATTTGGCATCATCGTAAAGGTTTTATCTTAACATAATTGTTGAAAATTAACATCTGATTCAACGTTAAAAGCAGCCGTGCGAATCTTCAAGTGCTTGAAAACTTCCAACAAACTTCACCACTGATCTGTCACCGACTTGACGTCGCATTTCATTCATAACTGCAACTCACACAGCAAGTGCCAATCCCGACATCACCTACGTCACCAATTAACTTTTCCTGATCACAATTACAACCTTTATTTCTCATCATCAACAACAAGAACAACGTCATCATCCTCGACACAAAAACAACAACATCATCGTCGTCGTCGTCGACATCTGTTACATCATCGTCATCGCTCGCAGCATTCATTGCTTATGTAAACAATAGAGTGAGATTAATGATGGTGCGGGACAATTGCAATATCTATAAATAAAAAAAATAACAATAAGAACAACAAGAATAATAATAAGAACAATAAGAATAATAATAGCACAACAACAACAACGACGACGACAACAACAACAGCAACAAAGACAACAACAGCAGCAACAGCAACAACAACAACAATAATAAAAATAATAACAAAATAAGAACAACCACAATAATAGTAATAATAAAATTAAACAACGTAAAGAAAAACAAATAAAAATGTCATTAACAAATTGCCACCAAAAATAAACTCGACCAAACAAAAATTATAACACGAACATATGGAAGAACTAAAAAAATTAATGATAATAACAGAAAAACTGGAATAGCATTGTTAATACTACTACTACTACTACTTCTACTACTACTACTACTACTACTACAACCACTACTACGACTACTACTACTACTACCACCACCACAACTACCACTACTACTACCAATAATAATAATAATAAATAATAAGTTTCGATAGCATAATAAGTTAGAGGGGGATAATTAATAAAGTGATAGGGAAGTTAGCGTTGGTGAATAAAAAGTGAAGAAGAGGGGGAGATTAGGAAATAGAAGTCATCCTAGGAAGGAAGAAAGATTGCAATGGAGTGAAGTGGAGTGTGAGTGCAGTCGTGGTGCAGAAAATGCAATAACAATTTTTATATGGTGGCATTTTTAAATGGTCACATTTCTATTTGGTTACATTTTGTTGCATTGTTTATTGGGGACAAAAAGTAATAAATGAACAATCTGCATCTGCCACGTTCTTCCCATTTATTTATGCCATTATGTGGCCAAAAAGCTTTGTTCTCGTCTGTATATTTTCTGCTTCTATGTCCAAAATTGTTGATGTTTTTGTTTTGCGTCAGGCGTTAATAAAATATTCTAACAATAATAACAATGCTTTTTTGGCAGTAAAACCGACGATAACACGCAGTCAGTGGAGACCAGTAAATAGATAGGAGTCCTAAACAAAATCATGTAACACCAGCATAAATACTTGTTGCGATCGGAAGAGCACTAGATTAGTTGACACGCCACTCTGCAGCCATCCATTTGCTGTTACGCTCTAATATTGCATAATTCGAATTTTTATTTCAATCCAAAACGTACTGAAATTTTCAGACTTCATTACGTAGATAGATAACCAACGCAGGAAAAAATGTTAAAGTAAACACGCACGCATCGAACCTAGCCACAAGTAGCTGAGTGTAGCATGAAGACGTACCATACAGACGAACGGCTTTGCAAATGTACAAGTACACACGCATGGAAACAAAGAGACTGCAATGCAAATAAAATCACTCACGTACATAAATACCACACGAACACGAGAAACCGAGTGCTGACGGCACAGGTAACAGTGCTTCCAACTCATTCTCGTCATTTTCTTTTTCTTATTTATTTTTAGTTCGAGAAGCATTTCCGCATACTTACATATTTCCAATGAATTTGTTATCTAATCAGACAACCTAAATGGCAACAACAGCAGCAGCAACTCGAAGCAACAACGCGGTAGAGTTAAATGACTTTGCGCATATAATGTTAGAGCACTGAAGCTAGTGAGATTTACGACAAATCTAGTGCATTGAAAAAAATTAAAGAATCCAATCTCATTTTTTCATTTTAAGGACAACCTGTCGTTACAAGAACATTCAGTCAGCAACACTAAAAATAGACATCCTGGTCATCATCATCCTCCATTAAACCATCCACTCTGAAACAATCCAGCCCGCCAATAACAAACCCCATCCAGACAACAATTTATGACGCTAGGTAGGGCCTAAACCGCACAGCCAAGCAATCAGTTCAAAGTTAATTCATGTTCAAAATCAAATTCATTGCAGATGTATCTCCAATCAAATATTTCACTTGATCACAATTTTGTGTAGTGTCTGAGCGATTCTGATTATAAGTATCATAGATGGCTTATTTCAGCGCAAACTGTCCGGTAAAAATAAATTCGTATTACAAGGCTGAAACTGTTTTGAAATATTTAACTTTTAAAATTATGCTGTGTTAAAATAATCTGTCCTACAAAAATGTGAATCGAAAAAGTATAGTGTAATACAATGAAAAAACATCTCAACGAATTAATGAAGTTAGTATTCAACAACATCGAAACAATTATTGGGACGAAAAAACGTCAACATCATTTAAGAAACGATGACAAAAAAGTTGAATTAAATTTTGAATAATTACCAATAAAAATTAAAAAAATATCACAAAACCCCGAACAACCAATGACATAACGTGACTGATACAGGCAATGACATCACGTTACACCACATCATGTGACAATGACGTCACAATCTTGACTGCATACCGCCAGCTACAACAATGGTTTCCCCGGTAATATAACTTGCATCTGATGAAGCCAGGAAGGCAACCGCCCCTGCGCAGTCTTCTCCCGTTCCAAACCTGATCGAATATGTTTAATCTATTACCTTTTGTACAATTTATAACTGATTTATTTCTTCTTCATTTGTTAGATGGCTCATTTAAATGAGTTAAAATGCATTTGAACAAACGTTCTTTTCAACTGTACTCTTTATTTTATTTCATTTGGTAGGCCAGATATGCCTTTTAACAAGGTAAATGTAAAGCAAAGTGTGTAAAAATGCATAAATATACTTTGATAACATCACATGCATTGCGTACCAATTGCAAGTGAACCAGGTAGGTCATTGCAACGCAGAACCTGGCGCCATAAACTATTACACCAATTGACCAATTGGCTTAATATATAAACAATAATCGTCATCAGAGTCGATAAGTACAACATAAACAGATAAATTAACGAATGGAATAAAACTAATCATATGTGTTAATTCAGAATTAAGATACATGAGACTAACAAACACAATTTTGTATTGACCTTTTCAATGGGATTGTGGACAATACGGAGTCACAGATATCTTCGTTGTTCCAGAGCTAAGTAGCGTAATGTATTAATAGCATGGAATTATTTTCATACTCGTTCGTTACAAATGAAAGAAATAACAAAACATTCGTCACATTTCATTCATCATTTTATTAATCAAATCCCGTATTAATACCGTTGACATATTCAAAAACATGAGTTTATTAAACTAGTAAACATCAGCCTAATTTTCTTAAATCTTCACCAACAATTCCGAAAGACTCATTATCATTTTGGATCAATTTTTAAAATTAAATTTTTAACATAAAAACTGAACAACCACAGGAATAAAAAAAGTAAAGGATTTAACTAACGGCAGCACTGAACTTGGTCTTAATGACTCCAGGAGCAATGGCATTAACCCTGATATTCCTCCTCGAACATTCAGGAACCATGCTCTTTACCATACTGATCAGTGCTGTCTTGCTTATGGAGTAAGGTCCCAACAACTTTTTCATGTAATTGTTTAACATCATTGTCTACCATTATTTCATGAATATTTGTTTACGCAAACACATTCACACTCAACCATTCACATTCACATTCACACACATCCACAATTTCTTCCCCATACTTTTGCACTCAAAGAAGTAAATATACATTAAGTGGAAGATAAATAACAAAAACAGTATATAGTTGTTTTAAATAAATATGTTGGAAATTCAATTGAAACATTTCTTCAAAAAGAGTTATGTGGGGCTTACCTCAAATGGAACATAACCGCCAATGGAACTGACGAAAACTATGGAACCTCTGAAATCCCACAATCAATGTTAATTAGCGTATACAAATAATAATGGTGGATCACTATTACCACTCAAATAAAGTTAATTTAAATTGAAAATTCATAAAAGTAGGATAGTGATCGACTATTCGGAAGTAAATACATTAAGCCAGCTTCAACAATTAAAAATATCACAACCAATGATATTAGTGTAGAAATTTAAGATGTAAGTTCATGTTACAAGTTTATTTGCTGGGCTCTTGTCCATGGATATTATATATATCCATGCTCTTGTCAGTGTTGTCAGACTGAAAGATTATTATTAGGAGAGAAGGAATAGTTTAAAGCCAACTTGAGATAAAAACAATGGGAAAAAAGAGGTTACAAAACCAACTTGCTCTTTTGGAGATGAGGGAGAACTTCTTGACAGAGCAGAAAGGATGATTTCAAATTTATTTCAAAAATCTTTCAATGACGTGACGGGAAAAATTATTCATGTGCAATTAATACTGACAAAAAATAAGTTCAACATTTCTCTAATTCTTACTTTGTCCCATGATTTTTCATCTGTCTGAAATTAAAATATAATAACATTTTTGAAAAAAAAAACAAAAAAAACTTTTAATTAATTGAAATTGACTTTTTTATTTCAACTGAAAATTTAAATTATTATTATTTACTTCAAAAATATTCCCCATGCTAGTATTGACAGCAGCATTTGAGACTAGAATGTCAATTCCTCCAAATTTTTCTAGGGACTTGCGAAGAACAAGAAATTAAAATAATAAAAATAACAAAAAAAACATATAAAATTATAATACAACCAATATTACTATTAAAAAACTGTTAAAAAACTGTTCAAATGCAAGCACAAAATCATTCCGGGCACTCTTACTTTGGTGATAAGTTGAGTCCTATCAACCTTATTCCCGATATGGCACACGCACCCATCTGCATTTATTCCAATACTTTTCAGATTTTCAACAGTTTCTGAGACGTTTCTTTCCTTTCTACTGCTCACCATCACATTAGCTCCTTCCAGGCCCAATCTTTTTGCTATTTCATATCCAATTCTGTCAATCAGATGTGACAATTCAAAAAGAATTAATTTGCAAGGTCATATTAATAAAAATATAATGATATTTTATGAAAAAAAAATTTAGCAATGAAATAGTGTATATTATATATTAATACAGCATTTATATTTAGTTTCAAGTGTAATCATAGCACAATTAAATTCTAGCAGCAAAATGGAAAAGTTATCCTAAAAAATGGTTTTCTAATGCTGTCAAAATTATCAGAAAAATGAATTTTGAAAAATTTTGAATAACTTTTTAAATATCAAAATGTATCAAAATATATATAAATTAATAAAATATATAAAATAATAAAATATATAAATTAATAAAATGAAATGAAAGGTTGCCCTTGGGTGGAGGCAGTCACAATGGCAACCTTGCCTGTGAATCTTTTGCATCGAAAGTTTGCCACACTCATGTTTTTTGCAACAATTTTAACAACAGGGAGCAATTTTAAGGTGTTGTTGAAACTCTTTAGAATATTGTTCATACTGCCAAAAAAATATATTGTAAACTAAATATTAACTAGTATTTATATTAAATTCATCAAACAGAAATAAATGAATACGAAAAATTACAAAGTTTATCAGTTTTTTTTTTCGTCTTGCATTTATTTTGTTAACTTAATTTTCTTGAAACTGGTCTTTTAATGTTCATCTTTTCAAATACTTTTTTATTATTATTATGATAAGAATGAGACTTTATGGTCAAAGTTAGACATTTTGATTTTGTAGGTACATGTGTACTAATAGAATAACACAATAATAAAACCAAAAAAATCCTCACCCTGGTACAAACATTTTTTAATTTAATACAAATAACAAGGTAGTCAAAAAAGTACAACTTTGCCTGGCTTTTTGTTACCAAAATTTTTCAATTGTTTCATACTTACAAAAGAATAATAGCCTAAGAATGTAAAGTAACTGTAAAGTAGTAAATAAAACTTATTATCCTTCCTTATCTAGTATCCACTTTTGTTGTTATTTCTTAAATATTTAATATAATTTTTAATAATAGATAAGATAGGTAGTAGTAATGCTGTGATACTTTAAACAACAAAACATAAAAATGAATTTTATGATAAGATATTATAAATTTTATTATTGATTTTATTTTCAGTTTATAATGTAACATGAGTTTTTGACTTTGATGAGATGTGGATGGGTATTTCAATGTATGTGTATATATTGTATTGAATAAGTTTGCATTTGATTGACATGACCAAGTGTTTGGTTTAGAGTGGTGTTGTGTTGTCTTTTAAAATTAATCAAAGTTACTTAAAAAGGTGATCTTTTTTCTTATAAAAATATAAAATATAATTAAATAAACCAACCTGTAACGATAGGATGACGCAATTATTTAATGGTATCTTGTCTATTCGTCGCTATCAGCCATTCATTTGATAACCCGTTGAGTTGATATTTTAGTGTACATACATGGGTAGAAGCAGGCTTCCTAACTTTTAAATATTCGGAAAGGTGAACTGAAATAACACCAGTGTAGTGCCCGCTTTTCCATTTCCAACATTTAAAATAACTGATTTTAAATGTTGGAAATGGAAACGACTTCTATAAAAATATAAAATAATATAATATTATATACTTAGAAAAAAAGCTTTGGGCAAATTTGTTTGATTGAGTGCTGCAACTGAATTCTCAATTGTAATTCAACAGCGCATTGAAATGTTTAGATTCTTCATTAAAATTAAAACTTGTTTTTGAAAAATATAAAATGAAAAAATTAATTTATCTTCTATTAAATACTGATTAACATTTATATGTTATTTTAGCTAAGCAATTTGCAACAAACTACGCAAAAACCACTTTCAAACGCAAGAACCAACTTATTATTCACGAAGAACCTTCCATAGAACCGTTATTAACGTAAATGTGAATGTCTAATATCCACCCAACCAGCCAACCATTTATAAATGCTGGTTTCTAGTGGATGTTGAACTTGAATGTGAATGTTTATTAATGTGCATTTATTTGATAACGTTGCATAATCATATATTATTAAATTATTAATTAAGTTATATTAATCTTAATTGCAAATAATTATAATTAAATTATAATTTACTTTTTTTTTTATTTATTGAACAATATTCGTATTTTGTAATATTTGAATTGAACTACAACTACACTACAACAGTATTACACAGACAATCAAAATTGAAAATCAACATTTAATTCTTAAGCCAAGTTATATTTTTATTTTATAGATAGATTATTTAATTTTTAAATATTTATTTAATCATTTATTATAAATAAAATTAATTGTGAGATATAGTCTCAGTAATGTAATGTCTCATACTCTCATAGTCAATCAATAATGAATAGAATTATTTTTTTATTTATTTATTAGAAACATTTAGCTAGAGCTAATTTAATTATTCTAGCTATAATTTGCTTTAGAAATTAGTTGCTTAATTAAAGAAGTCAAGAGCATTTTTAAGATCATCTCTAATTTTAAATTTTCTAATTGATTGGAAGAGGAAGAACCACTATTGAATATCAGCATTCAATCAACAGTTCTTCCAGATTGAACAGCTGCTGGCTGTCAACTTGACTTGTAGGTAACTTGTCACTGGCATGAATATTTTGAATAGTGCCATTGGTGAATATCAGGAGAGGGTAGGTGGTTGTTCTTTGTTTCATAGTTAGAAATGGTTATTACTTATCCATCTATCTATCTATATTGATATCATGATATCATTATATCAATAGATATTGGGATCATGATTTATAATGCTCTATTTTTATAAACTGAAGCTGTTTGATTTGATGTCTTATTTTATTGAAATTATGAAATTACATGATGGTTCCTAAGGATTTTTTGTCAGAAACAAACTTAAATGTATGAACGTTTAATTAAATGGTAAATTTTTTTCTAAAATTTAAATGATGATTTTCAAATTTTTTTTAAACTTTTTTGAAGATTGGTGTTTACGATAAGCAACCATGGGAGAGGACCATAGAGAGAGTTGTCAGTCAGGTATGGTCATCTTATTTTTTAGTTGGATAGAATTAATTTTTAATTCAAAATAAACATGTTTTTATATTTTTAATACAGTTTTCAGTCAATATAAATTTTTATTTTAACAAAGTTTTTATTTAAAGTTATAATTGAATAAGTTTTTTTTGTTTAAATGGCTTAAGTAATATTTTTAAAAACTTTTGATGGTTTCTGTTTTAATTTACTTTTTCTCTTTTTTTTATTTTCAAAATTTTGAACTGTTTTTCATTAAAAATTATTTTTCTTCTATTTTTTATAAAAGTATATCATGCTGCTATGCTAATTATAATTCGCTGAATCAATGAATTTTTAATATACTCAAATTTTAAGGTTTCATGAATTTTTTAATAACTTTCAATTTTTGTTAATTCTTTAGCACTGGACAGGCTATGTATGTAATAATTATTTTTATTTAGTTTTTTTTTGGTTTATTAGTACCTCAGTCTCTTAATATTATAAAATTGTTTCTGGTTGTTTTTCAAATAATCACTAATTTGCATAAATAAGTGTGTTTTCATGTCTCTATTTGTGTGTGTGTGCGTGTGCGTGTTTGTGAGTGCGTGTGTTTGTGTGGTTATGTGTGTTTGGTTGTTTTTGTGTGGTTGTGTGTGTTCCAGATAAATAATACTTCGGGTGTTTTTATTTACAAGATGTTAATTTATCATCACAGCGGATGATGTATTAAAAAAATGTTAGTTACCTTACAATGTAGAAACAAAATATTCAGAGTGCAGTTATTGTTTGGTTTATTCTTTTTTCTTTTTTTTTCTTCATAGTTTTGAATTTTTTTAATTTTTTTTTATTTTCTCTTTGTCTCACACTCACTGTAACCAAATTTTTTTTTTTTTGATTTGACAACATAACCTGGTTCTTTACTTTACCTAAAAAACAAATAATGAAATAATTCAAGTATTAAATTATCATTAATAATACATGTATATATATATATATATATATATATATATATATATATATATATATATATATATATATATATATATATATATATATATATATATATATATATATATATATATATATATATATATATATATATATATATATATATATATATATATGTATATATATATATATATATATATATATATATATATATATATATATATATATATATATATATATATATATATATATATGTCAAAAATTCAACAATACTTTCAACATTGTTCAACTTTTTTTAAAAAATTTTTTAAAAAACAATAAAATGTCTAACTTCTCTGAAATTAATAAATTAAAAAGAATATAAAAAAGTTGAACAATGTTGAAAGTAGTGTTGAATTTTTGAAATGTTGCTTTAACAACAGTCTGTTACCAATATATATATATATATATATATATATATATATATATATATATATATATATATATATATATATTTGTGTGTAGATCTATTGTTTAATATTATATAGATTTCTGCTATGAGAAACAAGACATGCCTACTTAATGTCTCATTTAATAATTAGTAATTGATTAATTGAGTAATTATTTATATATAATCAATATATTATTTTACTGATAATCAATATATTATTTTAACTGATATAATATTTTTTTTATTGTTCATACATCTATATATATATATATATATATTTTCATGATATTATCTGGCAATGTATCCTGAGTTTGGCAAATCTGTTTGTTCACTAATTCTTCTATATCAAATATGTAAACAAAAGTTAATTAGTTAGTTAATTATTTATTTATTTATTTAGTTAATTATTTATTTATTTATTTAGTTAATTAGTTAATGCATTCATTTGTTTGTTTATTTTTTAATATAAATGACGTTACTTAATTATTTGAAAGCAGAATTGATTTACCGCTGTAGTGTAACTAACGAATATTATCAGCCAGCCAATAAGCCAAACGATCATTTATTTTTCATTATATGACTGATTTATCTAGGGTATGGAATGTAATAAAACTAAGGATGGCGACGACGACGGTAATGATGATGGTGATGAAGAGGAAGATGATGGCCGTGTTGTTTTAATGACGATAGTCATGTGATGTTAATTATGTATCAATGTATCATTCTTGTGAAATGTATCATTCTTGTATATGCTGAATTGTATCATTCTTGTAAATGGCTCAAGGCATTAGTTCGTTGTACATTTACAATAATAAATTAAATCTCTGCGACGTTGCATTAGATATTTTCACGTCGGTATGTAGTAAAGTTTAGAAATCTAGAATGTTCTAAGTTTCTTAAAATAATAAACAAGAAGTTAAAGATATCTCTTTCAAGTTTGAATTTCGCAATCATTTGCCTGCATTTAGACAACTTGCACTTGTTTTAAACTGTCATTTGCATTTCAGAAAAATGTAAAATTTTTCTAATCTTCAATGCAAATTTACTATGGCTTGCTTCACAGACACGTGCGCACGCACACACACACACACACGCACAAACGCATACACACGCGCAAACGTTCTTGTATTTGGATACTTCATCGTAGCCATACAGTAACTTTACAATAATAGTCTATTGATCATTTAGAGCAAATAAATATACACTGATAAATTTTCCAAGTGGAAAACAAAAAAAAAGTATCGTGAAACAAAACCAGCAGAAAGAAGGCAACCATCTTCCCTGGCATAGCGTTATTATTTCTTATTTTTATGCCTATCTTATCTCCATACTCTTACTTTCCAAGTGATAAATCTTCGATAATAACAGTAAAAATAACAATGATTATATTGCTACCAACTATTATAACTTCCAACCACGAAAATAGCAACAACATGTTTTTCTGGGAAGTCATTTTTTTAGATCAGCATCTGAAAAAATACTGCAAACGTAATAACCGAAACAACAACTTCCTAAAAACCATTCCATATGTAAAGTGACATTGATGCTGCTTCTACTTAAAATCCTCTCTGTATTCGTATTTTTATTTGTGTTTATTATTTATTTTATCTGTCTATCTAGTTGTTTTAAATATTTATATAGATTTTTTATTTTTTTGATTATTTGTTGACATACATTTCAATTTATGTGGCCAAAATAGAATATTGTAAACGATAAAAGTCTAACAAACACCATTTCCAATGGAGTTATTTTCAATTGAACACTCTTTTTATTCCTTTCTTTTTCTCCTTCTCTCTCTCTCTCTCTCTCTCTCTCTCTCTCTCTCTCTCTCTCTCTCTCTCTCTCTCTCTCTCTCTCTCTCTCTCTCTCTTAATGTATACATGTATTGAAAATATGTGATTG